AATTGTGCATCGCAGGTCTCCCACCGTCGCTGCCATCCGTCGACGCCGTCTCGATTGCTGCACACCCAAGGTAAAAAGTCTGACACTAGTATTTTACATTTCTATGCATGAAATAAGTACTCGTGACCGCTTTTTTTTGCGGGCGAGGAAATTTAAGTACCCGTGACGCTCTAAGCAAGTGGAAAAATTCGTATGCATGAAATTTAAGTACCAGTGATCGCTTTTTTTAGCGGGCGGGGAAATTTTTTTATTTGTAGAAAAATTGTTTAATTAAGTACTCGTTACTGCTTTTAGGCGGGGAAAATGTTATACTTTAAATGTGCTCAAAGACCCCGTGACCGCTTTTGTTAGCGAGCGGGGATTGGAACTGCGGTCGCGTTTTCACCCGACACCTACCTTGACTGTCTTTCTTGGCAGGCAGGGAAGCCTTACACACTCCGATGCAGCCCCCTACACGGGGACGATGCTGGAGTGCTGCCAAAATTTTCAGCAAAACCTATAACTTAGAAAATTTAGAAAAAAAAAAATTTAAAATCCACTTAAAAGTTTTAAGTTAACAAAAAAAATAAAATATACGACACCCTAATTTTTTGAGAGAGAAAGAGAGGACCTGGGAGCAGAGTTTTTTGGGTTGTTAAAAACAACCTTTTCAATTTCTTCAACCAAAATCAAGAGAATCAAAGCAGCTTTAAACAGTCAAGAATAACATTACTAGCAGGAATATTAAAAGAAGTAGAATTAGCCGGAATAGGAGAATTAAAAATATATTTAAAATGATTTATAAAAGTATTTGCAATATCAATAGGGTCCGTAACAATCCCTTGAAAAGAAGAAATATCATGAATCTTATTATAATTATGCCTGCATCTGATTTTTGAATAAAGAAACCCTAAATCATCTTCTCCATAGGTCATCCATTTTTGTTTAGCCCTCTGAGATATCCAAGAAGACCAAAGAGAAAGATGATCTTTAAAAAGGGAATTCATATTAATAATAGCTAAATTAAGATTTTAATTAAGCGGATCCTTCTAAATAAGACTACATAAATCACTTTGCTGCTTCTTATGATTCTCAATAAAAGAGGAAAGATGCTTAGAGGAAGCCCAATCTTGCCACTTAATTAAATCTTTAAGTAACTGAAGCTTATTATAAAGGTTATTGATAGGATTACCAACAAATGTTTTAGAAAAAACCTCAATAAGCAACTCCCAGAAACCAGCTATTTTTCACCAATAATTTTTGAACATAAATCTAATTAGTAGAAGAACAATTATTGTTACAACAATAAGAGCAGAATGATCCAAGCAGAAAGGGTTATCAATAACATAATAAGAAGGATACGCATTCAAGCAAGAATTATTAACAAAAATCCTATCTAATTTAATATGAATCGGGTTATTACTCTACTGATTGAACTAAGTATAAAAATTACCAATATACAAAAGCTCCAAAATCCCAGAAAAAATACAATGATTTGAGGCTCCCAAATTATTATAAGAAATAGAATTATCACCAGATTTTTCATTGGCAAAAAGACATCAATTAAAATTACCCAGCAAAATCACAGTGCAGTAATATTAGAAGAGATGAAGAATATCAATCCAAATATTAACTTTATATGCATCCGAATTAGACGCATAGATAGCCGTAATAAAAAAGGAATCAAAACCAAACTTGATAACCCCATGAATAAGATGATTAGTAATGAAAATAGAATTAAAAAAAATATACAAGAAGTATTCCACTTTAACCCAACTCTACCAGCCATAGAAAAACTAAAATTATTACAACTACCTTTTTGTTGAAAGATTCTGTGTATAGCATCAAACCAAAAATTACCAACAAGATCAATATTAATTTTAGCTTCAAGAATACAACAAAAATCAACCTTAAACTTATTAACAAGATCAACATAAGCCTTAACTTTATCTAAACCGTTAAAGCCTCTCACATTCCAGGAAATAATATTAGGCAAAGACATTAATGTTTAATATTCATATTAGAGGCCTTCATGGCAACTTTAGATCTAGTAAACTTACTAGTAGTAATAGAAATTTTAAAATCAGACTGCTCCGAAATAGAAATAACAATGAAGAGACCCCCTATAAAGAATTATTCGCATCCACAGAAGTATCATTATTGAGGGAATCCAACACATGAAACTTATTATGATAATTAGAAAAATCGAAAGAAGATTTTGACATAAAAAATCTTTTCGCATTGTAGGAAATCCTAAGAATAGTATAAACAATTAAATTATTATTTAAATTGAGATTAGTATTAATCTCTTTAGTAGGAAAATTTAAATTAGGTGTTGTCTCATTAGAAGAAGAGACTACCATACTTTCAGAATTTTCCACAGAATTATCCACAACCTTCATATTTTCATAAGCAAGAATCAAATTCTTCTGAGACGAATTAGTATTATGCATATCATTAATAGAAACCTCTTTAGATTTTAATAAAGAATCATAAAGTAATGAAGGATCAGATAAATTCTGATCTTTCTTTTGAACCAATAAATTTTGAGGTTATTTAAATGAAGATCTTACAGAACCTGAAGTAACATTCCAAACCTTCCTGCTTTTACTTCTCCCCCTAATAGGTTTCTTAAAATCAACCGGCTTTTCACTAGCTTCTTGCGGCTGGGAAGGGTACAACGTTGAGGGATGAACAATTGATCCACAACCTTTACAAGGAGTGGGCTTCCAATCATAAACAACTTTAAGAGGAAAAATATTTACAGCAATAGAGATATTAACTTCATCAAGAAGGCTTGAGTCCTTAGAAACTAAAATACAAACTCTCGCAAAAGTGAGTCTAGTTTGCTCTGTTATTAAAGAATCAACAACAATTGGAACCCCAATCAGACTAGCAATTTTTTAACTGCCTTCCGGCGTCCAGCAAACTAACGGCATATCAAGAAATTTGACCCATAAAGTAATGGACATAAACTCTTCATGTTTTAGACGAAAAAAGAGGTGAATGTTTCTGGATAATAAATGATTTTTCCAAAGAAAAACTAAGGGCCACCTGACCAAACAAGCTCATAATATTCCAGACAAGAAAAATTCATCCGAAAGAAACCCTCATTCAAAGCAAAAAGAGTAAAACCATCTTTCAATTTCCAAACTTTTTGCATGACAGGTTTTAAAGCTTCAAAGTAAGACCTCTTACCCAACGAGTACCCTACCAGCATTAGGCCCAATTTTTCAGAAGCTACAGTGACATCACCTTCAGAGAAAGAAGCAAGATTATTAGAAGAAGGCAAAAAAGAAACTGAAAAAGGTTTGGATGCAGATTGACTAGATGTCAATAATCCATTCCACACTTTCATTCCCGACGGGAAAGCACCCAAAACCATACAAGGATGCAAATCTGATTTTAGAGGAGGAAAATAAGACAAAATCCATGATTCAACACAAGAAAAAAAAAGAGATAAAAAAACTAACAACAAAAAACCCTAAAAAAATCCACTAAGGTGGAAGAAAACAAAAACTGAGCGAAAAACAGCTTAGGGAAACCAAGAAACCCTCATCGAGATAAGGACGGGGGTGCTGTCGAGGCTCCGCTGTCAAGAAACCCTCCGGAAGGAACTTGAAGTGGGGAGTCCGTTTAACGTAGCTGGAAACCACCGCTTCTCCACTGAAGTATTTATCATAGTAATTTCTTTAAGTATTATCATAAAATGTCATTACTGCATGTTCCCACATGAAGTTTCCTGAAGAATTTTCAAAGTCACACAAGTTCTTTTGTAGCTAAATTAATAGTCACATAATCAGCCACCACTGTAGATTGAGCCACACTCCTTTATTTATTATCATTTTTTAATAATTTTCCAAGGCATTGTACCTCTCCACGAAAGATGAATATAAACTAGAAGTAGCTAAATTAAAAGCCACTTATTTAGCCTTCATTGTAGATTGAGGCACCCACTCTTATTTTTTACTTATTGAAGAGTTGCACTTCCATCAAGCATGAAAATAAAACTAGAAGTAGTTTTTCTAGCATAAACACATCCTTGGAAAGTATTTGAAAAACCAATCTGTTGAAGTTCATTGTCTTTATATGTTAGAGCATAAGACTTGGTTTAGTAGAATACTCTCTTTACACCATCCTGATAATATTTTTCAGAGGATTTGACTGAAATTTACTAAGAATTCTCCATTGCATGGGAAAGATCTGATGCACTTTACAGCATACATTGTTGATCCCATGCGTCTAATTTGTGACTACTTATTTAATGGTAACGAACTCATTTTGATGAGCTTATTTATGATTTTATTTAAGTGTGACACAATCATGCAGCAAGATGAACTATAGGAGACCTTCAATACTTGCAGGACTATATAATTTAGCTCTAAAACTATGTGGAATGTAAAGCACAGAGATTTCAAGCTTCAATAATTTGTCTTGTTTATTTATTTTATTTAAAGACGAATTGAAGAAAAATTGGTCACTTGTCCCAAAATGCATTAACATGCTATCAATATTTACTTTTTTATGACGTACTATAAATATATTTGATGACATATTAGGATCATAATAGAATAATAGAATAATTTACTATGTTAAATTAGCATTTATGTGCTTGCTACCAACTTGCTGATTTGTTGATTGTTTTAGAAAATGAACCATATTTTAGGTTGTGTAAGATCTTTGAAAAAGCTAAAAGTGTTTAATTCTTCCTGAGCATCAAATTATATGAAAGTGTTGCCATTGGAAAATCTTTAAGAAAGCGTGAGGTGTTCAATTCTTCTTCTGGAACCGCAAAGTGTCATTCTTAAGTTCAATTCTTGAGCTTCAATTGCGGCCGTAAGAAACTCCAGAGTTTCTTGTTCTATAATTTAACAAAGCATTCTAAATTTAAAGAGATTTTTGGTCAATTAATGGAAGTTAAAAAAATAAAGAAGTAAAAAACATTTAAATGAAAGAATAATGGATATTTTATAATAGATTTCTTTAAATAAGGTTTTTTATTATATAATAAGGTTATTTATGTGGCATTTCATAGGTGGAATTGATTATGTATCGGATATAGGTGGATTTTCTGTTGATAGTGCACTACTTCACCTTTCTACTATTTTGATTAACAGGGGGTCTTCTTTCTGACCATCCATGCGATTACAAAAATTAAAGAACAATTCCAAAAATAGAACATTTTACAATAAATGGAGGAAGGGTTGCAAGTTTCAAACGAGCTTTTACATCATTTTATAAAAAAAAAATTAAAAACTCAGTCGCAAGAACACTATACTATCAGTGATTGCTGAGAAAAGGAAAGAAGCATTTACATCTTATGCTATGCACACACGCACACCATGGAAATCCGTTTGTATGGCTGGTATAATGCAACACAGAGTCATGATCTTATCAGTTTACACTTGCCATGCCTTGCCCAGAAAATCCCCAAAGACTTGACGCATTTCTTGATTTCAGACTCCCATCAGAATTTCTCAACTTTATCAGATCCTCAAATAGATTGTCAGGCATGTATGGCTTTGGAGCAGTAGAAGGTTCTGTCAGCTTTAGATTGGCATTTAAGTTGGTTTCTTTGGACCTAAATAACTTGAGATTCTGGGGTGCTTTGGAATCCTGCGCAGTTACATTAGATGCATAAGAACTAAGAGGCAAGCTATACTGAGATTCTGCATACTGGTTCTGAGTGTATGTTGTTGATAGAAAGGGATTCAAACTCGCTTCAGGAGAAGTCCATGATGTAGCTAGATAATCAGTTGGATACTGTGGTAATGGTTGAGGAAAAACTGGACTTTTCTGCGTCAGTTGCACTACATCAGGTTCAGCCCATGGTGCGATGTAACTGTTAGAGGTAGTATATGCTTTGTTTGACATGAGAGATTGAGGATAGTTATGATACTCTACATTAATATGAGAACTGGAGAATTGATTTTGATTCTGGTTAGATTGAGGGGGTGGTGGTGGTGGCACTGGTTCTGTTTGAGGAGATTGGTTTTCTGATAAAGTGAGACTTAAGAGATCAATCATGTCTACTTCATTCTTGGAAGAATCAGTTTGTCCTGGGGGATCAAATACAATTAGTGCATTGCTAGATATAGACGATGAGCCTTCAGCAGCACTTGTAAGTGATAGTGTAGTCTTTATTTCATTCTTGTTTGGTGAGACCTCTTGCTCTTCAGTTGGTTTTAACACAGAATTCCTGCATAGATAGAATCATGTTTGTCATCATTGTAATCTACAATTAAGGCCTTACAAGTGAGTAGAAATTGTCCAGGAGTAGGTAAACCTACCTATTCGCTAAATGTGAAAATCCATCTTCTTCATCCTCTCTATCATCAGATTGTTCAATCATTGCAGGATCAAGTAGAGTAGGGGCACTTGGTCTTGTCAGTGCATCATGTTTTGAAATTAAAATTTGTAGATTATCATTCATTACAAGAGCTTCGCCCAAGAGGCTGTCATTCCTGAGAATATTTAACAAAATGAATGAAGGTTAGTTACAGATTTTTTAGAGTGATTGGTCCAAGACAATGATTCAGCAACATTTGCCCATACTTCAAAAGAATAATTGATGTAGAGTTCCATAGTCAACTTTTTCCTATCATAGGATAACTTATAAGCTTTCTCATTGTCCTTAGATTTTTTTTCCTTTTACTCTCAAATTTCTCCGAACTTTCAGTAATCGTTCTTCTATCCATTGTTTCCACTATTTATCTAACCTTCCTAGTCGAAGTCTATAAATTTCATATAGTAAAAAATCTAATATAAATAAGTCAAGGGCTATTTGTAAGGTTAAAAAAATATTATCATTAAAATGATCTTACTCAGTTGTGTTAATCAGCCGCATGAGCTTCTTCTGGTTTAAACGACACTGGTTGGCAAGATCTATGAGAACTTCATCTTTGATTGTCTGTGATACAATAAAAATATTTTGAGTGCTTCAGAAGCTGGAACGCAAATAAAATGAAGAAAAAAGTTGGGAAAATATTAATAAGACTCTGGACGTAATGCAGGCATAAAGCAAACATATTATTATTTTGATATTGAGCAGCATTTGACACATGGACTAAGATGCAATCTTAAATAAGCTTTAATATGAATTGGATAGCAAAAGTCAAAGTAAAACAAAATTCCTATTGCTTTAGAAGTCTAAAATCCCTTGTTTTCTTAATTTCAGGGAAACTAAGTACTATGAAGACCTCAAATATCAAAATCCTTATATTCTAGGGCATAAATGAATAAGTAATTAATACAAAAAAATCACATACCGATTGATCTTTTGGGTTGACAGCCTGCAGCATATTATTGAGCAAGTCCATAACATTTTGTATATTAGCCAAATCTGAGAAGCTGAAGACACAATAATGGATGATGAAATAAGAACAGTTAAAATAAATGTTGGATAGCAAACAAACATCTAATTGTAGATGCCTGAGAGTGTATTAGAAAACAAAGAAAAAAGGAAATCATACAGAAAGCACATTGATTAAATAACCTGGAATCATACCTTTCAGATGCCATTACTTCATCAAGTCTTTCAACAGAATCGCTGGGCATTCCATAGCCTACTTGAGGTTGATTAGTTATTGGCAGATCATCATCTCTTTGGTTCTGTGGGAACCGGAGTCCAGACCTCTGTACAGAAGATGCTCGATTGTTGTAAACGATGAATTTGTATTTTCTTTCAAAATATTTACACTTACATCAGCTGCACAATTCTAAATCCTAATGTAGAATTCCTCATTCTATTTAAATTTCTCAGCAAAATTTTATTTCAATACAGTGATATTGTTAATGATTGTAAACAAAGGATTTTGTTTAGAAATCAGATAATATCATAGATGTCTGTAGGTGTATATGCTAGAATAACTTAACAGGATGAATTGGAAAAGGATTTTTGCTCATATATTCTATTGATCATATATGTTAGTTTATGCTTGCTCTGTTCCCATTTTTGTCTCTTTGCTTATTGATTGTTCTCCTTGGAAGCACCGTGACACATAAATTTAAACAATTAGTAAACCATGCTTATAAACTTTGCTAGATAGAATCATTTGGTTGTATGAAATTAGAAGTCAATATGCTACAAACCCCTCAAATAATTTTATTTTTCACATATAAAGACAGCTGAAAATGAACTGAAAATCATTACTTTTAAAGACTAATTTTCTTTCTACAAGCAGCCAAATGGCCCTAAGATGAAGAGTGGAGCTTAGAATGGCCATTTTTTCTTGCAGCAGGTAGTGTAATTATTTACCTTGAGTTCAGCATATGTGTAGTAGTATTGTGGATACTTTCCATTTGGCCCACCAAATGTCTCTTGCCAAGATTCCAGCAGCACTAAAATTTTCTCTCTCACTTGCATATTTCTCTGTGATAAGTTAATGTTAAAATACACTAATACAGGGAAAGAAAGCAACGTAGTAAAAGGAAGAAGCCATAAATGAACAAACTGTCAATAGTTCTACATGGTGAATGAAGGATGATAATGTTATGATGAATGTTTTGAAAGTAGCTGAAACTGAAAACTTGTTTATGCTTTGTGATACTCCATGTATAGCAATAAATTTGAACATAGAAAGAAAAATGTTGGACAACAATCATTGACAACTTAGGATTTAAAGTAGGGGATCAATGAGCGCATTAAGGTTTCGTTTGGTATGACTTTTTTTACTGCTTTTTAAACCAGCTTTCTAGTAAAAAAATTTAATTTTTGTACTACCAAGCTGATTTAAGAAGCAGTAAAAAAGCCGTCTTAAACGAAGTCTAAGGCTTCATTTGGGACGGCTTTTTTATTTCTTCTTAAAACAACTTTCTTGTTTAAAAATTAAAATTTTTATATACTAGAAAGCTGTTTTACAATAAGAAAGTTGTTTCTAACGAAGCCTAAATCTATGATGTATGATAAGGCAACATCTTGTGAAAACATGATGAAGAAATTGACAAATAGCTGCAAACTTACTGTTTTTCTGACAATCTTAACTATTTCTTGCAAGATTCCAAGTTCAACAACTTGAAAATGCACAAAATCACCACAGTTCTTTATCATTGTTTCCAATAGCTGCAATGATTTAACACAGATTACTACTAAAGGAATGTGCTATAACATGCTTATTCTAAATTATGCAAAAATGATTATTGCAGTTCCATGTCAATCAACATTAAAAAAAAATAAATCAATCAGAATATTTTGATATAATTTATCTCAGAATAAGCTAAAAAATTATTAATTTTATTTTAAATTAATAATCATATATAATATTAATCTAAAAATAAATTTAACATTTTTAAAGCCTATTTTAATATAAATTATATTGGGATATCTTAGAAACATGCTTTCAAGACACATCTATTAGCTTAGAGGCTTACCGTCAAAGCAAGGAACTGAACCTTAGAGTTCTTATTTTGTAAACGCTTCTTCACAGCTTTAACAAAAGCTTTTGCCTTCCTAATATGATTAAGATTACAAGCATGAATTAGCCATACTGAGTTGCTTATTTAACAAAGGAAGAACATATAATAAAGATAAAATGCTAACCATGGATTAGAATTTACTGAGTTGCTTATTTCCATGTTCATCATCCAATTAGGACCCATAAGAAGAGAGCTCGTCGCCTTCTCCACCCTCCCCATTGGCGACGAAGACGTCGATAAGATCGACTGTAACGATGGCGCCATGTCTTCCTTCTCTCCCCCTCTTTATCTCTTCTCAGACAAAGAAAAAAGGTGTAAGAATCGTTTCAAGGAGAAGGCAGACCGAACTACTGCTTTCTACCTAATAGATATATATATATGGAATTGTGTATCGTTAGGTGTTGCGTGTTTGATACAGATTAATCAAAATGCGTAAATTTTAGCTTGTTTTAATATTTAGAAATGATCATTAAGGCGCACCATAATGCTGACTCTACACTTGAATTGGATGTGTGAGAGGGAGGAATTTTTAATATTTAGAAATTATTTTTAATTATACTTATTGATAAATTACCTTGCATTTTCTTTACCATGAGTATTATGCCATGGGAGTCAATAAAATGCGGCTTGATTTGTTAAAAAAGAAATATAGTGTAAAATGAAATTATATCTGAAAAATTTAATGTATTTTGAATGTTTTGAAATTGTTTTGATGAGTGTAAATAAAAATAGTTGAGTATTTTTTTATGGTTCGGCTTCAAGAAAAAGAATGTAATGATAGCGGTGATCGGTGGTGGCCGGTGGTACGGTGTGGGGTGGAGCCATAAATATTTATTAGAGGGGGCACAAAATTGATGTTTTTTAAATTATTATCAATCGGATGATTTTTTGCTTTTTTATTTAAATTGTTCATTGTGAATAAATATTTTTATCTTTAAAAGTATTAATATTTTAAAAATAATTTATTAAATTTTGTATTCAATTAATTTTATTAGACACAAATCTATAATTATCTTATTTCAACTTACATATTTAAGTATTAGTTAAAAAAATTATAATTCGGGTTCTATGGATACACTGTCCCCGCTAAAATCTCTTTGCTCATTTTGTCAACGAAGACATACTGCAGCTTGCTACAAGCAAACGGGCCATTGGACAAGCCTCCAATTGACTGAGAGGGAGTTTGTGCGGGCTGTTTCTGCTGAAAATATTTTTCCTAGGCCATTGTGGCATTTGCACAAACACCCTGTGGGCATAAACCTGTAGCTTGGGGTGTATGAGCTACTTGAATAGAGGAATTTGCACACCTGCAACAAGAAACTATAGCATCCCTTGCTTATATAACTTTCACACAATTTATTCCAGAATTTGCGTTCAAACCACCACAATCCTCATTAGAATCAACCAAAACATCAGACGTCCTTACGGAGAACACAATCTATTTGGGATGCTGAGGGTGTTTGCACACGTCTAGGAGAATTAATTACTTTCGAAGTCCTGACATAGCTCTACGTCCGTGCACCAACTAAATGCTGACACGTATTTAGACACTTATTTTTTGTTGACCCGAAAACCTGACCGGCTCAAGCCATGCATTTTTTTTAAATTAACGAAACCCGTGAAAACTCCAAAATATTTCAGGTGAAGAAAGAGGAGAAAAAGTTCAAAGCACCCAAATATTTCAGGTGAAGAAAGGGAGAAAAAGTTCAGAAAAATTATTAGTTCTTCTCGAACCAAGAAACCCTTATTGAGATTTTGAGCACTTGTCTACTTTGCTTGGTCATCGAGGGAGTATGAATGGGGGAGAAGTTAAAATACGGAGATTTATGGCTGCCTACAGAGTTCATCGTCGGTGAGGGTTTCTTTCAGGAGGAAAGGCGAGCAACAACTTTAATGGCAGATATCAAATGGGCAGTGATTTGGTGCGAGAGAACACAAGCCTTGCAAATATCGAAAGTTGAAGCTGTGTGATGAAGATGGAGTATCACTTTTAATACATGCTGATAAAGAAAAATGAGAAACAAGTGATGAAGACACAATGATTTTGAATGGTTTATGTGTTATTTTTTATCATTTCAAATCTTTTTTAGTTTGTATAGAGCTGTGTATAAGGGATATTTTTCAAAAAATGTCATTTTTTCTCTTAATCTTTTTTGAGCTTGTTTATATATGTGTATCAAGAAAATTATGTGTATTTTATGTATTACTATACTGCTATGCACTTATTACTGTGCATTTTCTTCATATTGTTGTGTATTATTGTATATTGTTGTGTATTGCTATGTACAGTTGTGTATTACTGTATATTATTGTGTATTGCTATGTATATCTTTGTACTGATATGTATTATTGAACAAGCTTAGTTATAAGCTTATAGCAATACACATTGTTGGATTTGTTCATATTGGAGATTTTTGAGCATGTATGTAGCTGTGTACTAAAAAAATTATGTTGGAAATGCAATTATTTTTTTAATACACATTGTGTATTATTGTGTACCAACTTAGATACATGCTTGTAGCATTACACATTGTTGGATTTGTTCATTTAATAGTTTTTTAGCTCATAATGTTAGTTTTAGTGTTCACAAAGAACGTCATAATTTGGGATTGACTCTATAGTGAAAAGTTAGAGAGAGAAGGTCTGAGAAAATTTTGAGAATTTGTGTTATTTCAAATTTTCATCTTCGCGAGAATTCCAGTAATCTCATGGTGGCGGATGTTCGCCAGCCTTTGATTGCTATGGTTCGTTCGTTCTCTTCATCTCCACCTGCTTTTGCAGACGGAAAAATCAAGCTTTGTTCAAGCTGCAAAACCTAAGCCTAAATCTGATATGCCTTTAATCATTAATGAAGGAGGTTTTTTGCCGAAGAAGGAACCTAAAGTTGTTGGTAAAGGAAAAAATGTTATGATTGAAGATAATGTTAAAATTCTTTTCAAGTATGGATTGACTCCAGTTTCATGGGGAGAATCGAATGATGTTGACTCTCCTTCTTCGAGACCGTTGATTGAAATGATTAATTCTATTAATAAAAGTTCTAACTGTATGGTCTCGGATCGATTAGTTTCCAATATTTTGGTAGGAACCAGCTCGAACGAGGAGCTTATTACAGGTGTTAAGTTGAATGACATAAATGATGAAGAATTGAGCAAGAGATCTGCTCTAAAGATGAAAGATTTACTCTCGAATTTGATGGAGGTGCGTACTTGTAATTCTTGAGATCTGGGTGATTGTGTTGATGTTCTACCTCCAGTCCCATCTCATCCTTCTGGTATTTCTCAACAAAATGCATGGAGTAAGAAGGAGAATATAAAAGTCTTTGACTTGGATTTGGGTGATTACTTATCTGAGGATGGCTCGACTGTTAGGCTTCATGTTCAAAACGAATTGGATAACTCTAAAACACTTCATAACTCTCTGGTGAGAAAAAATTTTGGAGCAGAAGCTCCTTTACCTATGATTAGCTTGGAACTAAGAAGACAATGGTCTCAATTTGGCAAGTTCCATCTTACAATGCTTTGGTATGGGATGGGTTCTTTGCTCTTTTTTTGAGCCTGAGCATTTGGAATCAGTTTTATCTAACATACCTTGGTTCATTAATGGACACATCATTAGAGTAGATAGATGGTATCATACCTTATCTTCTACCTTTCTTAAAGGTTTAACAACTCCTATTTGGATTAGGTTGCCTAACCTTCCGTTACAATGTTGGGATGAAATCAATATCTGTAGAATTGCATCTATATTTGGAAAGCCATATTTTATTGATGGGAATATGTTTCAATGGGAAAGAAGAGAGTTCGAGAGGATTTGTGTTCGTATTAAGTTGGATGCTAAATTGTCCTTAGGTGTTTGGGTGGAGGGAAGTTCTGGGAAGTTCTTTCAGAAGATAGAATATGAAAGAATTCTAAACTTTTGCTTCAATTGTGGAATGATTGGACATATCAATAAGGATTGTGTGAAGAATAGTTTGGAGGCCAAACTTGATCTGAATATACATGAGAAGATGGTCAGTCTAGATAATCCAGCTATGGTAGAAGGTACTCAGGAGAAGGTGGTAGAAGATGCCTGTATTGACAAAACAGGTTATGGTCCTTGGATGCTTATAAACCGTGGAAGAAAGAGGTTTAAAAATCCCATCTTTAAAAAGTTAAATCAACGCCAGAGGAGCTTGTTGTGTGGAGAAAATCTGAACAGATGATCTCAAAGGGAAAAGAGACTAAAGTTGTTTCTAATGTTGAACCTGTTCTAGAGCCTATCATGGATACTACTGATGTCAACCCTTCTCAGGGTGACCTTATTAAGTCTATCAAGTGCTAGAACCTGATGTGGGTAAAGCTTCTATTCCTTGCAACATTCCTATAAATGACAATAAGTTCAATGCTCTAATTGATCTGGTTGAAGAAGGAGAAATAAGTCAGACTAATCTGGAGGATGTGGTATCTTTTGAGGCGTCTGCTGATACTGGAGGCTCAAAAATCATGCCTATGAATGGGGATGCTGGTATGGGAAGTAAGGAAGGTGGCTTCAATCAAGTTAAAAAAAGAATCAAAACAACTAAAAGGCCTTGGGCCAATTAGTTCAAATCCTAGGAGCAGAAGATTGGATATGGAGATGAAAGGTACAACGGGGGTTTCTTTCCCTCTTTTTCAATAATGTCTTCTTTAGCTTTTTGGAACTGTAGAGGATCTAGGAAGAAAGGTGTAGAGGATCTAGGAAGAAAGGTGCTTCTCTACACCTTAAAGATTTTTTTTAATTGTATGGTGTTTGCTTTTTGGGCTTGGTGGAAACCAAATTGTCTTCTATTGATAGAAAAGAAGTCAATTTGCTAATGAGAGATGGTTGGAAGTATTTTATTATGCCTTCAGATGGTTTTTCTGGAGGTATTATTGTTTTATGGAATTCTCATTTGGTTGATTTTTTTAGTTGTTGAGTCATCTTCTCAATGTGTTATTGGTGATTTAGAAATCATTAACAAAGGTTCATGGAGGATTGCTTATATGTATGGAAATAAAGATGTGTATAAAAAGAGGAATATGTGGGAGATGTTGGAAATGCATTCTACAGCAGATGTTCCTATAGTGGTGGGAGGAGATTTCAATTGTCTGATTTCTAAGGAGGATAAGAGAGGAGGGAAAAAATTTTATTTTCCCAAGGGCCTAAGGAGATAAAGGCCTTTTTTTCTAATAATGACTTTCATGAGGTGGGGTTCAATGGCCCCAAGTTTACTTGGTGCAATAAAAAAACTGGAGGGGCTCGAATTCTTGAAAGATTGGATAGGTGTTTCCTTAACTCAGCTGCTTTAAATTCATCCCATCATATGGTGGTCAGACACTTGGCTAGAGTGGCTTCGGATCATTGTCCAATTGTACTAAACTTCCTTGATTTAAATTTGTTGGCTAAAAGGATCATTAGATTTGAGGATGTTTGGGCCTCATTCCCGGCTTCTTCAGCTATGGTAAAGAAAGAATGGAAAAAGGTTTATTTTGGAAGCTATTCTCATATTCATAATATCAATTTTAAAAGGCTTTAAAATCTATGTTCTTCTGTAGTAAGGCCAAACTAAAGAATTTGAACCATTTAAAATATAGTTTATTGGATGATATTCTGAAGCTTCAAATCAAAGAATCAGATGCCAGATTTTTTTCGGAAGAGGAATGTTAGATTCTAAAAGCTAAAGTGAATGAACTGAACTCGACTATGGCTCGACTGAATGCATGGTGGAAACAAAGAGCAAAGGTCAAATGGCTAGTTGAGGGTGATTGCAACTCAAAGTTCTATCACTCTTATGCTAGTGCAAGAAGGAATTCAAATAGCATTGTTAAAATAAAAGATGAGAATGGTGTTTTGTTGGAAGAGCAAAAACAAATAGATGATGTTTTATTTCAGTTCTTCAACCAAAAATGGAAATAGAGAAGTTGTGTCTTGGATGGGTGGCCAATGCCATTGAATTGCTTGAACAATTTTGATTAATGTATGTTGGAAATGGATTTTTCTGTGGAGGAGCTGGTTTTGAAACAATCTGGTGATAATATTGCTCCAGGATATGATGGTATCTCCTATTCTTTTATCAAAGCTTATTGGAACATTATCAAAGGTGATTTTTGGAATGCTATCAAACCTTTTCTTTTTCATGGTGAGTTGGACAAAGTTTGGAAAGATACCTTAATAGTTCTCATTCCTGAGGTGAGCAACCCGTTGGATCCCTCTAATTATAGACCTATCAACTTATGTAACTCTGTCTACAAAGTGGCGGCTAAGGTGATCTTGAATAGATTACTATCCATTATCCCTAAGCTAATCTCTGAGGAGAAAGTGGTGTTTATTAAAGATAGATCTCTTTCGAACCATGTGTTAGTTGCTCAAGAAATGTTCCACAAATTTAGGTATTCTAAATCTTCTAAAGGGCTTGTTTC